TACAACCAGGTACCAGGTAAAATTTTGCTGCCTGGTACAAATGGATATGCATCAAGTTTTGATTTAAGATTGCCATCTACATTGTATACATTAAGTTTTGATTTAAGATTGCCATCTACATTGTATACATTAAGTTTTGATTTAAGATTGCCATCTACATTGTATACATTAAGTTTTGATTTAAGATTGCCATCTACATTGTATACATTAAGTTTTGATTGTTAGCTTACCTGTTGTAATGCTCTTGCAAAGGATTCAATAGCTACAGCTTCTTTCCCTGGTGTTCTTGCTGCTAGAGCATTTACAGCATTAGCCATTAGCATCTCACTGCAACCTACAATAGAGATGATTCGTCAATGAAATATTGAATACATTCATGTGTATGAAGCCATCAAAAGTGTACAAAGATATAGGCAAGCCAAGTTGAGTGGCATGCAATGAAGATCTAGCTGAAATAATGTTATGTACAAGTCCTTGCTTACTTCACACAAAGTCTACCATGATGAATAGAGCAATTAGGAAATAAGCATACATGTCTGAAGGCCACGGGGTCTGGTATGCATTTTAAGTGATTTAGAACATTTACATCCAGACACGAGAAAGCCTACAATTTACTATCCCTGCATTTATAATTACAAGAAGGCTATGAATAAGCACAACTTGTGAGTGTCTGCAAACAGGGTGATGTAGAGTACTACCAGTTGGATGATGGAGAGATGAGTGAAGCTCTCTATCAAGCCTTCAACATAATTGCAAAAAACAATCTATGAAGGATGCCAGTACTTTCATTTAGTGTTTGATGCAAGCGAAGATTGAATTAGATATGACAGATCAACTTACCTCCTCCAAATACAGTTCTTGTTTCTTTTACAGTCTGTGTGAGTACACACAATGCATCGTGAAGTGATCTCTCAGCTTCGTCTAATATCTGCCGAGTGGCACCTCGCAGTATTATAGTACATGCCTCTCCCAATGCTACTCCGGAAAACTTTAATAATTTATCTTCACCTACAAAAGATCAAGAGATACAGTTGCCATGGTATTTAAAGGGTCATATGCTGTAACTTCATGTAATCAAGACTGTTGTCTTAAAGGGAAGCTGACAATTAAAATTATCACCAAGGATTTAATATGATCGAAATAAAATGTCTGCTGGCCACGGGGTCTGGTATGCATTGAAAGTGATTTAGAACATTTACATCCAGACACGAGAAAGCCTACAATTTACTATCCCTGCATTTATAAATACAAGAAAGCTATGAATAAGCACAACTTGTGAGTGTCTGCAAACAGGGTGATGTTTTTTATTAAGAAACTACTTGTACTGCCTGTACTCTTTTTCACACCCGAACACGCCCTTTTCACAAGTGTTCACTCAAGATGACTTTGACAGTAAGTAATAACGTAACAAACAGCATAATTAACTTGCTGGCTCCCAGAGTTATTAGTGGTAGTTTGCAAATTACTTTATGTACAAATGCACATTTTTGAAAAGCCATGGCTTCTGAAAGAAGAATACAAGTAAACCAGAGTGTCACAAATAAACATGATCTATGAATTTTATAAAAAATTATTGAGCCCAAAAAATTGCTTTTCCAGTAAAGTTTTGTAATGTATATCCACACCAAACACACCAACAAAAGTCTTGGAACTAGTTTCCCTGGAACTAGCATATTTATGATCACTACAGCAGTATTAAAACCACAGAATGGTGGCAATTATGAATTAAAATTGATGAACTTTGTGAGCTTCAAGTTTGTTCGACAATTAACATGGCAATTTATATTCAATTGCAAAGCTTACAAAATGGAGATTAATCTATCTGGGCAGAACTTACATAAATAATTTTCTAGACCCAAAATCACAACATAGATTATTAAAAAAGTCAACCTAAAGATACTTACCAATAATGATTTCTTCTATAAGATCACAGGTACCAAGTTTCACTAATTCAGGATGGTCAAAAGTTGATACAATTTCCCCACCAGTAACTAAGGCTAACCTTTCTACTCCTTCAAAATCGGCATGCTCTATCGCCATGACGCCAGCATCAGCAAATAGCTGTTCTGGATAATTATAGATGAGTTGTCTAGTATTGGAATAAACAGCAAACATTAGTTCCTCCACATGTACTTTACTGGGAGTCTACTCATAATGAATACAGCAATTAGGAAATGTGTTTAATCATATTTTTAAATGTCTGCAGGCCACGGGGTCTGGTATGCATTTTAAGTGATTTAGAACATTTACATCCAGACACGAGAAAGCCTACAATTTACTATCCCTGCATTTATAAATACAAGAAGGCTATGAATAAGCACAACTTGTGAGTGTCTGCAAACAGGGTGATGTTTTATATTCTACTGGTTTATTGTTTCATTAACAAGATTGTTTCCTCACAATTTATTCAAAGGAAATATTGGTTGTGAGCAGCTCACCGCCATAATTACCAGTAGACCTTTATCACATAAAGCCTTGAATTATGACTAAGCCAGACACATTTTTGATTTGCCACGATTTTGTTATTTACCAGCTTGTCTGTAATTGTACTGGGATTGGTCCTGGTATGTATATGTATATGTACATGTATACACATATATAAATATAAATATACATACACATTGTGAAACTTATTTTATATTCGCTTTCCCAAATAAAAGCAAGACCCATTTTTTTTAAACAACTGAGAACTAAATAATTCACAGTTTCACATGTGTGTAATACACATTCACATTGTAGCATTTGAATAGAAGCTGTTGCTTCTAATACAGGTTTTACAGTAACACGAGTTAAATAGCAGTGGTTAGGTGACCAATCCACATGCATTATGCACAGTTATGAGGACCAGTTACCTCATTACGCCAATATAACTTTATATTAATATAACTCGCAATATGATTCACTACCATGCAGATATTGTACACAATGTACATCAGGGATTTTTTTGAACAAAGGAAAAGGGGCGCAGCGCCCTCATGCCATGACCATGCACCCCATTACCCTGGGGAACAGATCCTCTGGCAACCATAAAATTCTTATTGACCAGAGATCACATGTGGCCACAGTCTTCAACTGTGACCAGTCTTGATAGTAATGCTCCATTTTAACTAAGAATTATCAAAAACTCCGCACCCGGGTAGGGAGAACCCAATCTCCCCCACTTGGTGGCGACGCTAAATTGCAGTGCTCCATCTTGCAGTTTTTTCTAGAAAAAACCCTGTACATGGATTTAGAATAATGCAGTGATTTTATAGCAGGGTTCTCCACGGTTTGAAAATTAAACAGGGCGCACCAATGTGAAGTGGGCGTGGCACATTTGTAACGTGCATCATTGGCAAGGATGTTGAAAAATAGAAACCAAAAAATCTATTAATCTACATATTATTACATATGCATAATATATATTTATTATTACAAAATGAATAGGAATTTTGAAGAGCTATTATTAAGTAAACGTCAGCACGTACAATCAGCTGATTTTAGCTGCACGATTCCTCAAGCGGCGACATCAGTTGTTTACAAGTAATGATCGCGTCCAGAAAAAGACGTAACAAGTTTGTTATTTTATTTTCCCAAATAGATACATACATGCTTTATTTAATTTTTAGCTAAAATTTATATTTATG